ACCTCAGCAGGTTGGTGTCCTCCCAGGCCACTTCAGTGATGTCCAAATTATTCTTTTTCTATCCCCTTTTTTAGATCCACCATCAAACCCCGTCTTTTCCAAAGGAAATATAGAAAAAGGTCTAATTAGCAAAGGCTAGTTAGGTTGTGGTGCTCTGTGAGACTATATGGGTTAAGCTCCTCAAGTTCGCAAAGAGGTTTGTGGAGTTTGTCGTAAAATAATTGAAGTGTCAGCTTTGTGCGAGCCTCTTCATTTTGGGCCTACACCTTAATTTATACTTACTATTTTTTTGTCACTGCGTGTCTTTGTTACTGCTGTGTTTCAGGATTCCTGCATTCATTAGCCTACACACTCAAAAATCGTTTGACTTCTTTAATTAACAGTTTGAGTGATCTTTTGTTGTACTTGCCATGTAATTTTATTTCAGGCATTTTTGGTTTTGAAGTACGCAAGCTGCGACAATTAACTCCCTATTATTTAATTTTAATCTATCAGACATTTCTTAAGTGGAAATTGTACAAAGTCTTAAAAGGAATGAAGTGCAATTTATTTGAGAGTTCACTTTATCTACCAGTCCTGTAAGCAGTGCTTGAAACTCGAATTAGGTCAAGCTTGATTCAGTTGGGTTGAAATCTGCTCATCTAATGTTTGAAATCATTTTAAGACACCTTTGAGAGTTCAAGCCCTGTAAAGATTTCATCATCTTTTCTAACTATCTGCCTAAATCACCTTATTTCATAAAACGTGGGAAGAGCAGGTAGTTTGCAGTATGCCATGAAGGCTGCAAGATCTGGCTTTGTGGAGTCAAGAAAAGAAGAAAAGAAAATAAACGGTTAGAAACAGCTCTCCTAGCTATAGGAAGCTTTTGCTTTAAGAATATATCACGTCTAGAATTGCTCGGGAAGGGTCCATCTCTTTTACATGATGTTCTATAATGTAATACCAGCTGTATCTGTAGCCACGCTTAGTACTGTTGCTAAATAGTGAGGGTTTTTTTTTTGTCAGATGTTGTGCAAATTGATTAGTTCAGTAAAATCTTTGAGCAAATGAAGATGCTTTGTCACTAACTATTGGTGGTTTTTATCTCCAAAACGTTTTTTGACCTACATACTGTAATATATTATTATCACGGTCCTAAGTGTAAAGATTGTTAGCTGTAAAACTATTCCAAATTACCCCTCTGCCCATCAATTCAAAAGTGGAAAACTTCCCTTTGTTTTGATGGGTCTCAGTGCTGTATCAGTAACTTGACCAAACTGATGAAAGGCAAGTTGTGTGCTTTTTTCTGTCAAAAAATAAGAAGCTAAGCTACGTTTCACAGTGTATCGATCGTGCCAATTAAAATGATGATTTCTGTGCCACTGATGAACATGTCTTATACTCAGCAGAAGAGTATTAACACATCTAAAACACGTACCTGCAATGGAATTGGTGGCAATGCTCCTGTTTTGATGTTGAGTCAAGAATACCGTTCTCGCTGAGCTGTGCAAATTCACCTGTAAAAGTGAGCAGTTGTTTGAACGGTACTTTTCATTGTACTCTGAGACTGCCTAGGAAAGAAGACTGGTAACAAGAGTTTAAGGCAATTTGGAGGTGGTTGTTATGTACAAAATCGGAAAATAGACCTGTCTTTATCTTTACTAATTCTGTTTTCCCCTCATTCTAGGGTTGGTCAGAGAGGGGCTGGACTTTCAGCAACTATTGCTAGAAGTGAACATGAGATCTCTGAAATCATCGACGGACTTTCTGAGCAGGAGGTGAGGCTATTGTCTGTGCTTTGCTATAAAAGCCCAGCGAAGGACGATCTTTTCGTTGGCAGAGGGTTTGGTTTGTTTGATAAAGAAACCTTTTGGGGCTGATTTGAGAGAATCTGTGTGAAGTTTAGCTTGAAACAAGTCTTAGAAATGCGTCTCTTTTAAGAGGTATGCTTTCTAATTGTATCTGTCCCAGATTTTTCTCATGCGTCTGTGCTCATTGCAGGCTTGGTACAACCTAGTTTTTTACAGCTCTAACAGGTGAAAACTCGTCCTTTCAAAAACCCTGCACCCTTTTAGTTTTTCATCATTTACAACACTTATTTCCTTAAGCCTATGCAAATATTCGTTGGGATATATAAGAAGTGGACAGAAAGGAGTTTCAGGCTGACGGGGAATGTATGCTGTGATGGAGCTTTAGAGTTGTGTACTTCAAGAACTATCAGCATTAGTAGCAACTCTTTGTGTTCTTTACTTTTTCTTTTATTCTTTGCCTGTAGAATAATGAAAAACAAATGCGCCAGCTCTCTGTCATTCCTCCCATGATGTTTGATGCAGAACAAAGACGAGTGAAGTTTATTAATATGAATGGTCTGATGGAGGATCCCATGAAAGTTTATAAAGACAGGCAGTTCATGAATGTCTGGACCGACCATGAAAAAGAGATTTTTAAGGAAAAGTAATGGACTTTCTTATCTTTTATTCTTATTACATTACAAATGACAGTTAAATATCTAACCCCACGGTAAACATCAGTTAAATCGGGAATGCTGAAGCCTTTGTGCAGTGATATTTGATAGTGTTCTTAGCTGGCTGAATGAAGCATTGTGAAAGGTTTAGACCTCTCCACAGGCTCACATGAATTTAGTCCTAACATGATAAGTTTTCGCAGAAGTATGTCGGTTCAGTGATAAGATAAAAATGAGCAGAGTACAAAATTATCTCATTATATTGGTTAATAGCTCATTTTAAGTGCTTAGTTCTAAATTTGCACAATTTGAAGACTGGGCTTTTTAAGCTAATTACAGTTGTGTAAATCAAAGGCTTGCCGGTGGAACGGGTTGTTTGAAAGACTGCTTTGCTTATTTGATCATGAATTATGTTGTCAAACTTAAATAATTTCTGATTTATGAAAGGTTTGTCCAACATCCCAAGAACTTTGGTCTAATTGCTTCCTACCTGGAACGAAAGGTAAGACCTTTTTAAATATAAGTAGAGCTTAGGGTGGGATCCCTAACTTTCCAAATGTAAGTCATTTATGCCAGCCACATTTTTTTCTTTCTTGGGGAAAAAAAAAAAAAGTCCAGAAAAAGTTGCTGCTTTGACAGGATTTTATAATACTCGATCAGTAACATTGTTAGCGCGTGCAAACATCTTACAAAAGTTAGTGAAATGGCACTACTGCCAACAATAAAAGAAAATGGTACTTCCTTTAGTTTTTACCTTATTTTCTTTTTGAAGCGGGTAAGCTGCTTTAACTGTTTCACTGCTTAGATAAGGATGTAATTGCCTCCCTCCACTGAGCCACTGTGCTAACTCTTCAGAACTTGCCACCACCTTTCACGTCAGTGGGATCCTACTGCTGGTTGAGTTAGTCTTTAGAACTAATTTTAGTCTTTAGAACTGATATAAGAAGTAAAGGAGAGTTAGGATTTGTTAAGACTTACAGCAGAATCTTGAATACAAACACTGTTAATGACAGAGATGCTTTCAAACCTGCAGATTGTCTAGGATACATTAAATCATGCAGACTGAAGTAGCTGAGGGATAGTAGAAATATGAGACTTGTATTTAACGCTATAATTTTATGCATAGTTATATTGTTATGTTTGTGCATGAATTCAGCTCCCTGCTGAGCAAGCAAATCTAATACGAGTTTTATTTTAGTCTAGGAGTTGAATAGTTTAAGTGTTGAGAGAAATTAAGTAGAAAAACTGTATTTTTCTTAGAGGAGTAAAAGCTAATTTTATTTTTTTTTTTGGCTTATTCACCTTAGAATGTTCCCGACTGTGTATTATATTATTATTTGACCAAGAAAAATGAAAATTATAAAGCCCTTGTGCGAAGGAATTACGGTAAACGCAGAGGAAGAAACCAGGTATCTTAAATTTATTAATTGCTTGGATATTGTTACTTTGTTGTTTCATATTTACAGCTGTCTTACTATCTGATAGAGCAACTATATTATATGCAGGGCAGGGGATCAAGCAGGAGGAAAAAGACTTATTTTTCTTTTACTGCATTTTTTCCCTTTTTAAATTTAAATAATCCTGGCCTCAAGGGCGTTCTTGGTTAGTTTGGTTTTAAGTCTGTGAAGTATCTTCTTCCCTTGCACATTTGTGCCTTTTTTAATATGACAGTTTGAGGATTCTACATAGACATTGAAGTTGAATCCATCATTAAGTCCTGCGTTGGAGCCAGCAGCAATTAGATTTAGCATGTGATTTGCAGTGGTAAATATATAATCACCTCATAATATCAATGTCTGTCAAAAAGCAGAAATTAATAGTGATCTTTATTTGGTGGTCGGGCTCAAAGTCAAACTGGAACTTCATAGCAAGAAGAAAGAGACCAATTTAATGCCTGCAAATAAAAAATACTGCTGATTCAGGAAATGTTCCTTTGGAAGTTATTAAAGTCTTTGGAGAGGAAAAGAAGAGCGTATTAGGTAGAAGAAGCGTATAAATACATTTTCTAGGCTACCAGGGTAATGTGGATACTAGAAAGCAACAAGAATAACAAAGTAAGAAACTTTGACCTTTTCTTTGTTTAAAGAAAGCAGAAGAAGTGCTGCGGATTCACTGAGCATGTGCCCTGCTCTTCCCGTTCTGATTGCGCCTTGCGTGTGTCAGGTATTTAGGAAGTTCTGAAAATAGAATGAAAGCTACGTCAGTGACGGGGTCCGGAAAGAAGGTCATATATGAAATAAAGTACGTGGACAGGTTACTAGATGTAACGGCGAAGACTGCACATATTTTCAGCTTGTAACTTCAAAATGAATTTAACAGCTGGAAGCCGGTTTGGATACAAGGTGCTGAGATACCCAGTGCTTTGCTGGAACAGAGGCTTGATGGGGGCGGAAGAGGAGAGTCCTCTCAAATTCAGGGTTTTAGAAGTCTGCAGGCTTGAAAATCTCAAGAATTGTGGGTTATTGGATTTAGTCAATATCTCAGCAGCGATACTACGGAGAAAATTGTTGAGGCTTTGAGGTATTGTGGCTGCGCAAATCTGTCCTGAACTGCAGAACAGCAAATTAGGTAAATATGACACTTGGGGCTACGTGAAAGGGTCACGGTGCTGTTCTAAGAGAAGGGATCGTGTCACAGAAGACTCTGTCTCTACCCCGCAAGTTACGGACTGCTGGGGATAAAGTCATGGTCACTAAGCACAGGGTTTAGTTGCAGCTTCTTCTCTGACCAATTGTGAACTGCTGTGGTGGGAGAAAATACTGGAAATAACCTGTATTTTGCCAGTCCTTTTATTTTATGCTTGCAGAATGCAGTTCATCCTCCTTCTCCCCCCCTCTGCAGCCCAGCTTTGTTTGAAGCTGATATTTTTCATATCTCTGAGTAGCAACCTGAAACTTCCTTGCTGGTTGGCAAACACAAGTCATGGAAGATTTATGATGTGCTCCAAGATGGGCTCATGCCAATAACAGGTGCTTCAGCTTAAACTCTTAAGAGTTCATATATTTTTGTAAATTAGAAGTCAAGCAAGTGGAATATCGCAGTGGAGAAGGTATTAATCATGGTAATGATGTTGAAATCCTTCAGAGAATGTAGTGAGTACAACTTGGCTCGAGTTTCAGTGGAGGGGCATCTGCTTTAGGGAAGCTGAAAGCTAAATTAAGGCATGGCGATTTTAGAGAGGTAAGACTTATTGAATTCTGATGCATTTTTGTCCTCAGCTAGGTCTAGAAAATGCTATTTTTATAAAATGCTATCTAAACCGTCCCAGAATGCTCACAGAGGCAACTAAATGAGTGTATCTTAAACCAAATGTGACTTTTCAAACGAAGAGCAAGTTTTCAACAAAGAATGGGAGAAAACACGGCTCCGCGATGCTTTTGCCTCAATTATAGAGAATTTCCTAAATAACTCGTTGATGGGAAGTTCTCTCTGAGTGAAGTTTTCCCTTGCAGTTTGGCAACAGGGCGGCAGCTGGGTAGGAGGAGGGGGATTCTGCGCTCCGGCTGCCTGGTCAGCAGCAACGCGCGTCGGTGGGTCGGGCCGTGTGCCCGCGCAGCAGGTGGCCAGTGCGGTGATCTGACTAGACAGAAATTCGCCGTATGTCTGTGACGGCCAATCAAGGGGAGCGCGGTGGGGATTACCTCCGGTGACTCCGGTGAGATTAGAAGGTTGTATGTGAGATGGGTAACTCTGCTGTAGGCAGCTTAAGTGGCAGAATGACACAATTTCCTGGAATAACCACGTTGCTGGGTCAGGCAGCCTCCGCTAAAGAGCTGCGTGATGTCGGTGCCGGCGTGGTTTTTGTCCTTTTGAATCGTACCCCGAGTTAAAGCCCGTCCCATTGCCTGGATAGTAAAAGTTTTAAGCGACAGATGAATGTGCAGGTACGTCGGTGACCGAGGCTTCAGCTATTTTAAGGTTTGTGTTTAGCCTGCACTTGACCTATTGATTATGCATGGTAAATAAATTCACTGTGAAAGGGAGAACGCTGTTATTTACAAAGTGTGATGTTAAGTTAGCTGGGCAGAAAGAACAGAGGATTTTTCAGCAACTGTTTTTTGTATAGATTACATGTAAAATAGGGATTTTATTTTTAATTTTTATTTCTTTAAATGCGGTTTTTGACTGCTTGCTTTTGCGGTCAACCTATCTAGCACAATGAAAATAATTTATCTTAGCGTGTCTCTGCCATCATGCTTAAAGGAACTTTTTGTGTAAGCAGGTAGTGCCAGGATCTTAAATGCTGATAATTGGCAGCAAGATGGTAGCGGTTAGTGTTTGGGTTTTCTGCTCTAGTTCACATGATTAAAATGTCAAAAACAAGTCCTTTTTGTGACTATTTCCAGCCCTAGTTTTCGTAGTGAAACAGTGACACCTGCTGCTGTGCTTTTACGAAGGTTAGTTCTGTAAAAAAGAAAAGGCTGTTTTGAGGAATTTTTCAGTGGATTGTAAAATGTGAGTTAATGAAGTCCTAGAACAGCAGAATTGCCAAGTGTACTTTGGGTATTTTTTCGACAGGTAGCTTTTATATAAATCTTTCGTGTATTTTACTTTTTGAAGTTGATTTGCAGAGTGTTCTGCCGGGTCAGGAGCAAGTCAGAAAACGGCAGTTCTGCACCCACTGGTTCGGCTGGAGAGCAGCCAAACTGGCTGGGGGCCTCGGTTGACGGAGCACTTTGTTTACCCCCTTCGAGCCCCTTCAGTGTAAACTCCTGTGGCCGTATCTCACTCCCCACCCTCTCTTACATTCCCGTGGTGGTGGTGCTGAACAGAGGGCTTGGGTTTTTCTGCGGGACTCACCTTGTTGGGGATACAGTTTGGTGTGAATGGGCGATACGGGTGAAGCTCTGGATGGTTGATGCGGGTTCTGGCTTTTGAGGCCCTTCAGGAGAATTCATTCATTTGCTGTTTGCTTCACATAAAGGCTCTGGGAATTTGGGGAGTGGGTTGCACGGTAGCTGACTGTGGTATTTTAGCCTCGAGAGGAAGGCATTTGCAGGCAAACTCTAGACGTAGCTATAGACACAGCAGTGTTGGAAAGCAGGGTGCTTTGCCTGTGTGCAGATATATTGCTGTGGATGGCAAAAAGCAATAGTTGGGCTCCTGAATATATTTAGGGAGGATAACGCCACTAAAAATAAAGGTGATCTTTTCTGTAGCCATGTTTGATAGATCTTTCCCAAGGCTTTTTTCTTTTTTTCCATCCTATGAGCAGTGTCATTTTTCTCATGCTTTCTTCAAATATCACAGGATATTTGCCTTGTCTAATGTTATCCCACCTCTAACAGTGAAGTCAGACAAGCGATGTCAAGGCTTTGTGTGTGGGTGGGTGTGACAAGGAATAGTAAAAACAATGCCACAAATTTTTCTTTCATTTTTTAGATTTTTTTTTTTAATTTTATTTTTTTTAGCAGCTGTAGGGGGCCATGCTGGTAGTTCTATGCAATCACATTGAATAACAGACATTTCTTCCGTTAATTCCTGTTTGAAACAGATTGTATCTTATGGAAAGTTTAAGTCAAATTTATGTGCTTCCTAAAATGAGGTACCCTTGCACATGGGTTGATTTGAAAGATGAGGAGCAAGAGTCCCTTAACAGGGAATGCATAGATGGTATTTTGTGCTGTTTTCCTTAGGAGAACAAGTAATGGTAACTACATTGTCATTTCTCAGTGCTTAATGTGCTTATACAACTATCACCTTAATAAATGTTACAGTTAAAAAAAAATATTCTAGTCTAGCATTTTCCTTCTGGAAACATAGGTCTAAAATTCCAGACTCAAGTTTTTGAACAATTGTATTTTTTAATTGCTAACAACAGTTTTGAGAAGGTGACTTTAGAGTTGGTCATAATTTTCATGCTACAAGATCTTCTGCTTCCCAGTTGTAAGCTATCATGTTTCACTATTTTAAAATGGGTGTTAAAAATAAAAGTTGAGAGGAGCAACAATATTTCTACACATGATGTTGGTCAGACTTCTCTACACCTTTCTCAAGCAGTTTGGTTTTTGTGCGGCATAAAACAGCCCGGGAATTGGTAGACGCGTGTACTTTATCACTTCTGTGCCCAGGCCGTGAAAAAAGCCCGTACCTCCATGGAATTTATAAGACAATAGACCCTATCAAATGGGGCAGCTGACCAGAAGAAACAGAAGAGAAAATAAATTGAAAGGTGCTGAAAATATACAGCTACTACGTAGAAATTGCATGTTCTGAGGCAAATACTTCTGAAGTCTGAGAGATAATGTGCGGAACATCGTGTTCGTTACGATTTCAGGGTGCAGAGAGGTGTTGCAGTTTTTGGCAGAGGCGTTTTATGTTGCCTGGTTGGCAGTGACTGTAATTTAACATGTTATCAAGTGGGAGGTAAGGCGGCATTGGTGCTGGTGCCGCTCTGAACACGCGCTGCCGCACCTTTGCGCAGTCGAGTTGTTGTAATATGGAAATCCCACTTCATTTCAGCAACAAATTGCTCGTCCTTCTCAAGAAGAAAAGGTAGAAGAAAAGGTAGAAGAGGAAAAAGCTGAAAAATCAGAGAAAAAAGAGGAGGAAAAGAAAGATGAGGAGGAAAAGGATGAGAAAGAGGAATCTAAGTAAGTACACATACTGAAAAAGTCATTAACTCACCCTAGAGTGCAGTTTTTGCAAAAATTGGAGTGGGATTTGCCTTAGCCTGACAGCAAAATCTTGACGGAAAACTGTTCCTGTTTAGGTTATGTTTGGTGCATTAAACAATTTTTTGAACACAGGAACTTCTCTAACTTGCTCAACTAATAATAGCCATGACATTTATTTTTTTTTGCATATGTAATAATTTTCATACCTTGCTGATTTGAGGGTTTTTGTATCTTCTGTCACAGTTTCCATATTTTCTTTGAAGTTGATACATGATATTTTTTATGCTATTCTCTAGGAACTCTTAAGTTGTGGGCACTAACTGAATTCTGTTTCGCTAAAGGCATCTTTTGATTTGTTGAGGTTTTTTTGTGGTTTGTTTTGGTTTTTTTACATTGCTGTTCAGAAATACCTGCCCCATAATGGCTGAACATGACTGAATTTTATTTTAACTACTCCCAGAGACAATACCAAAGAAAAGGACAAAGCTGAAGTTGCACCCGAGGAAACAGAGGAAAGGGAGCAGGCCGCTCCTAGGGGCCGAAAAACTGCCAATAGCCAAGGTCGTCGTAAGGGCAGGATCACCAGATCGATGACAAATGAAGCTGCACAAGCAAACGCTGCTGCAGCTGCAGCCGCTGAAGAACCTCCTCCGCCTCTTCCACCCCCACCAGAACCTTGTGAGTAGCGTTGGTCGGACACTCGGTGACCCATCGGGCTCTTTCCTGTGCGTGCGCTGCCTGCTGGGGTTCCGTTCCTGTTTCGTGTAACTTCTGTGTTCTTAGGCCTGCCTGGAATTTTGTGGCTGCTTGGGACTGTCACACTTCATGAGCGTAACGTGATGAATAGTGTACGTGCAGGCAGATCACTCAGAACCAGGTCGGGGGGGAAAGGCAGTTCAGCCTTTCTGTGGTAACTCTTTTCTTTCTTTGCAGGGTTAATGGTGCATCTGGAGAGATCCAAATGCCTCTGGCACAGATTGACTTACAGGCTGTAGCTCACAGAGGTTATTGTTAAATAAGGAGGCCTGGTATTTGAGTACTTTAGGGAGTTTCATAATCTGAAATAGATCCTAGCGAGTTGCTTTTGTTGTTGTTGTTTCTGCATTAGATGGCAAGAGACTTCTTTAAAATCTGATTTCATTGGAGCTTATGACTGATAAAGACTGTACTATCTCTGACTGCACTTCTGAAAAGACTGACATAATTTGTGGTGGTGCAGAAATAGCAGCAAACAGGATACCTTGTGGCTAGTAAATAATTGCCCAGGATGGCAGGGCAGGTTTTTGTTGGATTTTTCAGGTTTTCTTTCATTTTTGTTTTTGTTTTTTTTTTTTCTTGTAGTGCTCTGCTCTGGCAGTTTGTTGCTCCCAGCTCTTCAACTAGGTAGTTACAGGCATCTGCTATTCTAGAATTTGGAATGACTTTTTAGTGTCTCAGATATTCTGCATATCCTAAAGAAGAGAGTGAGTGGGCAGATGAGTTCTTGTTTAACTGTAAACATCAGAGTGTGAGAAACCTTCTTGCACAGTCCCTATGATGGGGTTTGGTCAGCAGCTGGACTAAGGCGATAGCGGATTTGGCTTTTGGTTGTTTTTTTTAAAACCATTTTTGAAGGATTTTCTGGAAAATCCAAAATAGTTTTTCAGTGGATCAGATACCTTGTTACGTTGTACTTTTATTGTCTGTTAATGGAAGTTGTCGAAGGACCCGTGTTGCGTGCTCTGCATAATGGCAGATTGAATGAAAAGGAAGTGGAAGCCGTTACAGCTTGATTCCGTTCAGAAATGCAGATAGATTGATATCAAATCCAGAGAAGTGAAGGAAAAGTATTTTGTGTGGAATCACACTTAGCTGCCAGCTTCTTTTTTACTTTTTTTTGGTTTTTTTTTCTTCTTGACAGATAATTAATCGTAGTTTTGTAGACAGAATAGTTATGAATAGTTTGCTCTGCTGAGGTTGTGATGGTTCCTACTAGGTCTCTTAACTTGGTTGACTGGAGACTGACAACTTCCCACTGACCAGAGCAGGTTTTCCAAGTGACTTCAACAAGCCTTTATGTAAATAGATGAGTTTACTGTGAGATGCGTGACTGGTGCCATAATAGTGAATCCTGGTCTTTTCTCTGATCAGTGTCTTTGCTTCTCTTTCAGCTTCTGCAGAACCTGTGGAGACATCCCGCTGGACAGAAGAAGAAATGGAAGTTGCTAAGAAAGGTAAGCCTGGTAAAGCTTTTGACTTCTGAATACCTGTATTTACAAAATTACAATAATCTACCAAATCACTAAGTACAAATGCTGTGATTTTTTGCAACACTGCACTGAAGGAATAATTGGAAATTTGCTGCTGTTTGTTTTTTCTTCAAAAAAAGATAAGCAAACGTCTTTAAAAACAGGTTTTTGAGAGTTATGTTTTTTGGACTATGTGGAACTGTTAGATGTCATACTTGGTCCACAGAAGTCTCTGAAAGATGGGAGGAGGTGTATGTCACATGTCACTTTTCAAAGTAGTGTGTTTGTAAGTTACAAAAATTCCGTTGTAAAAGACATTCTTTTCATAGAAAAGCTAACATAGCATTTAACTTGTCTATTAATTTGGCAGAAACTATTACCTGTAAATTTTATGCCTGAAATTAGTGTTTTAGCAGAGGTGTTACATAGAAACAACAGCAGAGGGTTAAATTTGGAGGCTTCATTCAGGTTGACACGGCTCTTTTTCGCCCCATAATCAGTTTTCAAATACATTGTCACAGTGAGAGTTCTCTTCAGCACAGCAGCATTTCCCTATCTTACTTTCCCACAGGCGTTGTTGTTCCGTTTGTTTGGGTTTGGATAGCTGAATCACTTGGGATGTTAAATATTGGTTCTTTTCTGTTTGAACAGGTCTAGTGGAACATGGACGAAACTGGGCAGCAATCGCCAAAATGGTTGGGACGAAAAGTGAAGCTCAGTGTAAGAACTTCTATTTCAACTACAAAAGGAGACACAATCTGGACAGCCTTCTCCAACAGCACAAGCAGAAGGTAAGTGCAGGGGGTGCTGAGTATTTTGAAGGGGAAAACTAGGCATCCTGAGTAATTTGTCACGCTTCACTAAGACTGTTTTGCAATCGCCACTTGTTTCCTCTTCTACTTGTTTTTGTGTTGTGACGTAAATCTCCTAGAAAAGGTGACTGATGCTCACTGACCTGTGATACTAGTCACTTCTTGCTTTAAAATGCAATAGAAAATTTTCTGTCAGATAGAACACATGAGCCTGAAGAACTCCTTAGTGCACTGAAAACCATGTTCCTCCTCGGTACATCGGCAACTACAAAAGTTCAGTTACCCTGAAAGATAATAAGCACTGACGTTACAAACTGGAGCAAGACAATTTGTAGAAGACCAGGAACTGAGCGGTTTGGGGTATCTAAAGTAGAATCCTGAGTGTTGGAGTCCTCTAAACTGCAATGTTGTCCTAGGCTTTTCTCACTGAAAAGCATCAGTGTCTGTTTGCTGCAGTAGTTCTGCTGTTCCCCAAACATATCTTGAGACTGGCTTTTCCCAAACTTACTGCTCAGGAGCAGCTAAAGCTGCCTTCAAGTTGAAATAGTGTGCCCTTGTGAATGAATCTGTGCTGAACAGCAATTCTATCTTTCGTTTCAACCTCAGATTGATAAATGAGAATGCATGTAAAAGGAAACAGTACTTGCAAATGTTCCTTCAGTACAATGTAAATGCTGTATCTTTATCAGTCTTCACGAAGGCCCCGCGAGGAGCGAGATGTGTCACAGTGTGAGAGTGTAGCTTCAACTGTATCAGCTCAGGAAGATGAAGATATTGAAGCATCTAATGAAGAAGAGAATCCAGAAGACAGTGAAGGTAACTTTTCTGGGAAGGAAATGTGTGTGTGCACAGAAAGGGACCCATGTTTTGTGCCAACTAAGTGCTCAGAAAGCTGTGTTCCGCTTGATAAGTACTCAAGCTCAAGTACTACGTTTCAGTTGGATTTTAGCAATTGAAACTCACTGGAGAGGAAAAAGCAGTTTTTGTATTAAGCAGCCTTAAGATGTTATTGCTTAGTATTTTGAGATGCTTTGACTGCGCTGTCATCTGATAGAGGGTAAACAGCACCCGATCAAGAAATTTCTGCATGTCAGAGCAGGTTGAATCAAAAATACGTAACATTTGCTAGGTGATAGTCTCAGTAAAGCTTCAGACTGGCAAACTTAAGTGGAGGGGTTTTGTTTAGTTGGGTTTGTTGGTTGGTTGGTTGGTTTTTAAATTTGTCAGTTGTAACCGCTAATACTTAAAGGCACTTAACATCAGTCCTTGGCTAGCCTTTTGTGAAGATGTAAGCAATAGAATTGCTTGATCTTGTAATAAAGGTGCATCATATATGGAAGGTACCAGGTCTCTGACAGATGCACAAGAGTTTACTTGGCAGGCTCTCTGTAAGATCAGAGCTAGCTAGGTAGTCTTACTTTTATAATTCCAGTCTCCCACTTTAACCTATATCTGCTGGGTTTTTGGTTACTCTTCCATTGTGAGTCAATTCTTCAGGGCAATTGTCTTGTTTTGGGTCAGCAGATTATTCTAAAGAAGCCGTTCACCAAGCCTAGCTAATTTCATTGGCATTAAACCTTTATGCCAAAAGGTTTGGGTGTTTATTTCTTTCCAGGTGCTGAAAATAGTTCTGATACAGAAAGTGCTCCGTCTCCAACTCCAGCAGAAGCTGCAAAACCAAGTGAAGAAACTCCATCTGAGAGTGCTGCTTCGAAAGTAACCACTGAGGCAACAGCAGAACCGGAATCTACAGTTAATAAACCTGCAACCAGCACATCTCCCTCCTTAACAGCCGAAAGTGTATCAACAGCTGAAAGTCAGAACCCTGAGCCACAGGTTAAGGAGGAAATAAATAACGAGACAGAAGAGCCAATGGAGGTTGACAGTAGAAGCCATCCAGTTGAAGCCAAGCCTGTGATTACTCTTCCAGTGCATACCAAAGTAGAACCTGTAGAGACTGAAATGAGGCTACCAGAGAATATTCAAGTGAAAATAGAGAGTGATACCAAAGAGAGAGAGATGGAGAAACCCAAGGAGAAGTCAGAACCAGAGGAAATGGACTATAGTCTGTCACAACAAGTTAATACATCAAGACAAGAATCCCATTCAGATAATGATTCGAGTGCCACCTGCAGCGCTGATGAGGAAGTTGATGGAGAACCTGACAGACAAGGGTGAGTTTAGTTGGTTAGCGTTCAAAAGTTAATGTGAGAAGCTTTCTAAATGCCCATATCTATTCCCTAAGAAACTCAACAGCGATTGTGTGGCTGGATCTGTACTGAACTACTTTGCTTTAGTTTGGTTTTGTAAGTTTGTTGCTTTTACAGAATACTCAAGAACAAATTATACATTCTGAAGTAAATTTGTAGTATTTTTTCAGTGTGATTGGTTAGTGTGGAATAGTACGTGGGCTTTCCAAGAAGTTCTTCCCCGTGAGGGTGGTGAGACACTGGCACAGGTTGCCCAGAGAGGGGGTGGCAGCCCCATCCCTGGAAGTTTTTAAGGCCAGGCTGGATGCAGCTCTGAGCAACCTGATCTAGTGGGTGATGTCCCTGCCCATGGCAGGGGGTTGGAATTGCGTGATCTTTCAGGTCCCTTCCAACCCAGACAATTCTATGATTCTATGAATGTAGAGCCATAAATTTGGAGATGGAGTTATTGATTCATGCTCTCACAAACTCAGTTTAGTAGAATGCATCCAAAGCTCCTTGAATAGCCTGAACATATCTTTGAATAGGAGATGAAACTTGCTCTAATAAAAATCTAGGCACGTAAAATATTGATATTTTAGTTACCCTTTAATATTTCATGTTTATTTGCTTGTATAACCCCTAGAGCTCTGTACCCAATTACCATCATTGAACCGTGTTATGTAGATCAGTAGAAATGAATCTCTTGAAGGTTTTTAGAGCAGTGGAAGTGTTTCTGACTCTTACCAGTTCATGTCCTTAAATTAATGGGCAGGTGTCCTGAGAAATAGATGGATGATCTCTTTCTGCAACCTGTCCGATGTCTTCACGCAGACTTCCTCGTTCCTGGGAGCCTGGCCCTGAGCGCTGTGGCTCACCCACCTGGGTATAAGGGGTTTGAGTGGATAATGCCACACGTCTTTGGAGCCGTTTATCTTTTGCAGGGTGACTGACACCACTGCTCGTACTTGGAGTCTTTTTAGGATTCTGTTAGAGCAATGCCTGTGCGACCATAACGTAGCACCAGAGCCAATGCTCCCTCCCTCTCAGTGATCTTAATATACACGCAGGACCAAGGATAGGTGGTAAATGTCAGAAGTATCCAGTGTCACTGCTCTGCGCGTGGTCTTGGGAGCAGTGCAGCTGGTGGTGTTTCTGCACTCGCTTGTCACTTCACAAATGTATTAGCCCTCTGTGTGGAAGTAGTCTGTTGTATACTACTGTTTATTTATTTCCCGGGGGCTAAATATATCTAGTGCATTCTGTCTAATTTTCTGGAAAGTATTCTGTAAGAAGAAGGTTGCCTTCTGGCATACTGTGCATGTAGAAACTGCATACGTGAATTGCTGGTGCTGGAGATCCTGACCGCTTTCTTTTGGTATTTCTGTGTATTATAAAAGTACAACAGCATCTGTTGCCTATTCTATTAGATGGGTCACGGGACAAAGCACAACACAATTCTGATTTTTCAGCTGTTTGTCCAGTGTGTTAACTGAGTTGGCTTGTTTGAAGTTGAGAGGAGGCATACTTTTGCCTGTAAGATGTTTAATCTTGGTCTTTTTGGTGATATTCTTCCTTCCTTCTATCTCTTTTTTCCAGTATCTTCAGCAGGGAGTCAAAGCCGTCCCTTTTAAATCCTACTGGGTCAATACTGGTATCATCCACGATAAAGCAAGGGCAAATGGACCTGCAACAGCTTCACCACCGAGCTGCTGTCATCCCACCTATGGTATGGGAAGTTTTAAGTGATCTTTGAAGGAGTATCTGTTGTCCCTAAAACTAGTTGCAACACTAGGGTGACAAAAAGTGGTAAAACAAATGAAGAAATACATAATTTGCTTTGTTGTTACACTTTTGAGATGGAAAGTAAGTTAAGGACAAGCAAATACAAAGGTAACAAGTTAAAAACCAGTGTGGACCATCTGAAACACTCACAGCTAGGCTGCAGCACTGCAGTGGAGGCATTGAGCGATGTAGTTACTTCAATAGGTGTCTTTGTTGATATGCCTGATGTTTGTGCCTTCCCCTTGGTGTAGGTTTCTTGCAGTCCCTGCACTGTCCCCGTTGGAACACCGGTGAGTGGTTACGCGCTGTATCAACGGCACATTAAAGCCATGCACGAGTCAGCGCTGCTGGAGGAGCAACGCCAGAGGCAAGAGCAGCTGGACATGGAGTATCGAAGTGCTGTAAGCCCTTGTGGCACTTCCAAGAGCCCTAATGTTGAGTGGGAAGGTAAATGCTTCACACCCAGCGTGGAAATAACCCCGCGTTTTATGTCCACATGTTACCCTGCTGCCTTATTTAAGAATGAAAGTGTAACATCCTGAAAATTAACTATTGGTTTCTGAGGGTGCTTGAGTGAAGGAACCTCTCTACTACAGAGATCCTGCTGTAGTTACAGTGTTGGAGAACCACTTTGTAGCCCCTTTAGATAAGGCAGAAAAAATGGTTCCAAAACCAGGTTGTTCCTACAAGGAGAGATTCAGAAAGATTAGGTGAGAGGACCCAGATAACTGCAGCTTCTGGGGGAGCCCCTTTCAGAGGCTCAAAGTGAAAACAGGAGAGAATTGGTAAGGGAGGATGAGAACAGTTAAAAGGAGTGTTTTACAGCACTGAAGTACATGCATGGACATTGAGCCCTGGAGCGGGGCACAAAGGTTTGGTAGCACTGTCACACTCCAGCCTGTCTGTCTGCACAAGAGCTGTGTGAAAGGTTCATTCTCTTGGGAATATGATGGTTGGTTGGTTTTGTGTCTGTAGAGGATACTTGGAGGCAGGATTTTAATGGAACGCTGTGATCTGGACCTGTGTTTCCTGAGTATGGCTCTAGTATGACCCTCAGTACAAGACGAGACTAAAAGTGCTCACAGAAGGTGTCAGGGTGACAAAGTAAGGATGTGTCTGTCGCCGTTACAGGACAGTGATTCAGATGGGCAGTGTGTATATGTTACCTTATCCAGATTGCTGCGTAAGAGCCAAAGGAGGCATTTGGTAGCTTTCATTAGACATCCATATTATGCTTTCTCTGTGTGCGTATCGGCTATATTTTCATTCTTTGAACGGAAATTATTTTAATTTTTCCAACAGCTTGCACATTACTAACAGCATAGCTTTTTGTGTGTGTGCAAGAAAAACATATCCTACAGGAGGCCCAGTTCTCTACTGAGTGTGTAACTTTTACCTCAACTTTCTTTAGTAGAAAAGGGATGGGTCCACAAACTGTACAGGGAAACAGAGTGAGATTAATGCACTGAAAGTTACAGTGTCAGAGGTACCATCACAGTTGGCATAAATCTACCTTCTTAGTTTCTTGTGCATTGTTTCTGTTGTCTCCAAAGTATCAGTAACATAAACTCATGTTGTTTGAAACTCAAACAGTTTATATTTAATATACATAATCATTTTAAATTATGTTATGAAAATACTTCACCTTAATTACTTTTACCAAAGTAAAGAAACATAACCAATTTTTCGCCTGTTAAAATAGTGAGAAGGGAGCTTGTAGGTTTGTGTAGGGGAAGACAAGACTGTGGTTTTTGCAAGTTGGTTCTTTAGGTGGAAAGTCTGGGGTTACTTAGAAGCTCTATTTAACTGAAGCACTACTTGAATAACTCTTGGCCTGAGCAGCACGGTGTTACGAAGTGTGGGAAAGTTCTGGGGCGAGATCTCTGCCAGCGGTGATCAAGGTGGTTGTGGAGGCAGACAGAGAGGAGGGATAACATGGTTCATGTAAATGGATTCTACAAGCCTGGACGACTTAACCTGAAAACTGGAAGGGGCTGAGATTTCATCAGATCATGACAACAGCCGCTTCCTAAGACAGGCTGTGCACGTGAGCTTGTCCACCCGTCGCTGTGAGCAGCAGAGAGCCCACAGACTGTTTAAAAACTGGGCACTGCATGCGTTAGAACCCTGCCGGCATTGTGGGGCACCTTGTCCAACTAAAGAGCCTGTTGTTAAATTGGCTTAGGAAAACCCACACAGTACTTTACTGAAATAATATAGTAAAGATCCTCTAGAAAGCTGTTAGGGTATGGTTAGTGCCATCCTTCTTTGACTATGGAAGTTAAAGATACAACTTTACAGCTGCAGTAGACTTGTTCTGGCTCATAATTTTGGATACTTAAGTCTTCCATTGCCAAAGAAAAGGAATTTCTGAAGTTCTGGTACTGGATTTTTAATTTCCTAAATGCTTTGAAAATATATATTCCCTTTCAACACCATTGATGGGCAATATTGTATTTACAATTGAATCTGTAACTTCTCTGGGCAAAGCAAACAAGGAAGGGAGGCTCTTTGTCCAGTGAGATTGGCTTGTAAGTCTGGGTGAACTTGCACATAAACCTGGCTGGCGCATAGGATTTGGAAAGGAATATTCTTTAAATGAAATCCTTTTCATTAATAGAGCTTTAATGTAAAGGACCAATAGTGTTTTTCACATATAGAAAGTATGAGGAATTTTTTGAAAGCTTTGGATAAGACGTAAGAACATAATAAACCAAGTTCTACCTTAACACTGTTTTCTGAGGCATTTGTACCTGATGAGTACCTCTGACATTGGAGTAGACCCTTTGTTAGAACTGTCCTGTAAACCCGACCTTTTGACTTGAATTTCTGATGTAAAGTTCTTTTTTTTTTTTTCTGGTAACTTCAACCACAGGAAAACCAGTGGCCTATATGCCTTACGCTGAGGTCAAGCGAGCGATGGAACAGGACGCACAAGTGCAAACTACGGTGACAAGGTCGGCGTCACCGTACAGGCTCTCCCCCAGAGAAGTCAATAAAGCCTCTCCCCAGCCTGAAATGAATGCAGCTCGTTATAGCGTCCCACCAGGTAAATGTTTTGTTACGTGTCATAGCAATGTGTAGTCTTCCTTTGCAAGCTGGACTTTTATGACTCGGCATAGTATGGAATTGTTCTCTGAATGTGGTTGAATTAACGAAAGAAGAAAATGGGTTATATTCTGTGTGTGCATGGAAATAGGTGCTTGGTATTTTTCTAGCCCCAGCGAGGTGGTATTTTTCTTTATTGCTGCATCAGCTGCATAGCATGTATTTTTTATGGCGATAGGATGATCTGAAAGGTGTTAGAACAGCATAGGGACCAAGTCATCAGGAGTCTTTCAGCTTAATACAAGCACGGTCATGTAGGTGGGTGGCCTTTCGTGTGAAGGAGGGAATTGAGGAAAAGAGAGAACTGCTGCTATCCTTGGCAATAATTTCCGACTATAAATGCCTAATGTTATAGTCTGAATGTTTTATAAATCTTAATTCTGAAGCTTGAATTACTGCTTTTCCCTTCAGAGTATAATGTCATGCTATAAAAAGACAAAATAAGGAAGCTTACATTATACTTGACTCAGCTGCATCCGTTTAATGAATAAAAACTTTCTTTAAAAACAACAAAAAACTTGAATGTACCCTGGACTGCTATTTTAAAAGCTTAGTTTTCAGAGTCTGTGATTCTACAGGGCAGCTTTTGCTATTTCTTTTTAAACACTGATGCAAGGGTAGCTAGTATCCATCAGTTTCTGTGCATAACATACACTTGGAGGTAGTTTTCAGAGCTGTAAACACAGCTAGCTAGCTTTTGGGTGTTGCGAGGCAGTTCCCATCAGGAATTGTCAGATGAACTGTGCTATCTCTGTTTTTCTTGTCTCTCTAACAACTAGTAGAGCTGAACCAGGCTGTAATGTTTAATGCACAATTTCCCCCTCCCAAGTTCTCCAGCCAGCACCTCACCAAGTAATAACCAACATACCCGAAGGAGTCCGCCTTCCAACAACCAGACCTACTAGACCACCGCCACCGCTCATTCCCTCCTCCAAAACGAGTGTGCCATCCGAAAAACCTTCCTTCATCATGGGAGGCTCAATCTCACAAGTAAGAGAATTACTGTTAGAGAATCTGTGCTTACATCCGTGTACTTTGCAGTGTTTTAAGACAGGATGATAGAGCATTAGCTTTTTCCATTAAACACAGATGTGAATCTTCATTCTGGAAACAAGAATCAACGTATATTTGTTGTTTCAGGGAACACCTGGCACTTACTTAACATCCCATAGCCAAGCTTCTTACACCCAAGAAACTGCAAAGCCCTCAGTGGGTTCTATCTCTCTCGGGCTGCCAAGGCAGCAGGAGTCAGCCAAATCTGGTAAGAAAAGCAAAGCTGACATATGTTTTATAGAGACTGTTTAATGACTCATAATTAAAGGGGAGAAAATCCAAACAATTTTCTTTTTCTCCTTCTGAATAGCTTCCCTGCCCTATATCAAACAAGAAGAATTCTCTCCCAGAAGCCAGAATTCTCAACCTGAGGGACTGCTGGTCAGGGCACAACATGAAAGTGTGGTTCGAGGTAAAGGAAGTCATACAGATGAAGAAACTTTTATCAAAGCCTGAGAAAACCGTCAGAATTAACTTCTAGAGCTCAAATTGTTGAAGTGTTATTTTTAAAGTATTTTATGATTAATCTGCTCCAAGTTTTCTAAGGCATGTGTATTTGTAGCTAGCTCCTCTTGTCTGAGTATCTCATTTAAAAACATTTGTTTCAAGACATGCCAATTTAAAAATTAAGTTGTTCACTAGACCATTTGCAGAGCAATACATATGAAATATCCAAATACATCAAAGAAAAAAAACTTGGGTACCATGAATTAAAGGTTTCATGTGCTGTGAAAGACTTTTAGTCTGTAAAAGACTATGGTAAAAGAGGAAATAGTTTAACTGCCTCAGATACACACTGTTAAAGGGAAATTTTCCATGTATTTTAATGTAAATTAACACTTCTCACTGGAGTTTTTAATTATTTCAAGCTCAGTAGCTACCTTTTGTATTCCAATATTTATCAGGATGTCTTATTATTTCAAATCAGGTACCGCAACCATACAGGAGGGAAGTATAACACGAGGAACTCCAACCAGTAAAGTTTCTGTTGAGACCATTCCTTCTTTGAGAGGCTCCATAACTCAGGTATTTTCCCCTGTCCGGGGAGGCTGTAGCGAGACAACATATTTGAACTATCACCGTGAATGTGTGTATGAAAACATGAATTAATATCACGGAGTAGGAACTGCCTCGAATAAGAAGTGTTGATACAATCCAGTGCTCATATCCTGCTATTGCTGGAGTCGGCATTACCATGATTTCATCTTCATGTATGTGTGTCTTTAAACTTCTTAAATAAAACCACCACAGCCCTTGGTGTGCCCAGCTGAAGGCTTATTAGCAACTTCCCTGAAAATAGCATCACGCTTCAGTTTGAATATGAAAATCAACTGTAACCGGTCTTGTATGGGTGCTATTTGAAGCACAAAAAGATAAATTAAGTCCTTTTGTCTAATTTTTTTTTTTTTTAATGCTACTGTTTTGGTTGATTTGGGATCTATAGTTCTAGAGAGCAGTAAGAACATTTCTCGTCTGAGAAGGGGGGTTTCATTACTTTCACTAGAAATAAAACCTAATGGCATCACCAAGTGTGCAGTATCTGCTTTCTTCCCACTACATTTAGTATTACAGGGCAGGTGTTCTAGGTTATGAAATACTTTTGTAATATTGTACTCTAATTTTATTTCTCTATTTTTTTAACAAGGTCATGAATTACCTGCAAATACTATTGCTGATATTCGGGTTAAATGTCTGATAACAGAGGCAGAAGTTTAAGCCATACTGGTTGATAAAGTAGTTGGCTTTCTAGATCTAAAAAATTATCTGAGGCTTGTTTTTTCTTTTTTTCCCTTCACTGCTCCCTAGTCTCTTTAAATAAATACACATTCTGAATTGTGTTTGGTTGCTTTAAATGCAGGGTACACCAGCTCTGTCCCAGTCTGGCATAGCAGCGGATGCATTATTGAAAGGAACTATCACCCGGCTGGCTACAGAAGACAGCAGCCCGGAAAAATGCAGAGAAGAAGCTTCAGCCAAAGGCCACGTTATCTATGAAGGCAAAAGTGGGCATATTTTATCTTACGATAGTGAGTATTTCCATATCCTATTTGGTCAAAGTCAAGGCTGCAGCAGGTTCTGCGTTTATAGTCCATTGCTGAAGTGTGTCTGCTCCCAGGTGGGGGGGTGTGAACCTCAGGCACTGGGGTGCTGTCTGGAAGAAGCCCTGACCTGTGTGTGGTTTTGAGGGTATGAGAATTCGAGTGGTCCAGAAATCACGGCTGTGTTCTGAAGAGCCTCCTGCACTATGTATTTAAAATATAATTGAACTGTTTAATTTCTGTGCCATTTATTTCCAGTTTGTTGTGGAATATTGGGTTTTTTTGAAAGGCTGAACAACCAAATTTAAAATTACCTGTATTGAAATAAAATGGAATATATTATTTAACTTTGAGCTTCCATTGAAATACTGATAAAGAAGTAACTGAACAAACTTTAAGGCTGAGATGTAATGTTACAATACTATATTGAAGTTGTGTCACAAAAGTATTGGTGAGTTGTGGTCTCACTAAATACAGTGCTCGTGTCTTATTTTTTTTAAATTGTCCGCTTTTCCTAACCATGCTCTTGTAAACTTTGCCAGCTATTAAAAATGTTCGTGAAGGAACAAGGAGCCCAAGAACTGCTCATGAAATTGGTTTGAAGAGAAGTTATGATACAATGGAAGGAAATATCAAGCAAGGAATGTCAATGCGGGAGTCTCCAGTGTCTGCGCCGCTGGAAGGTAAAACCAGCTGCTTCCAAGGTGTTTTATCCAAACCTTTTGCATTGATGCCAGAGTATTTAGTTATTTTATGGAGCAGACTAACAGAGAAAGTAGATTTCAATCTCACACCACTAACCGTATCCGTGTGATAACCACTAAATTAGGGCGTGCTGGCAGTACAACTGGAGTAGATACTAGTTTTCCTTGATGTTTGCTGGCGTGTTACCATAACTGCAGGCAGCTGAGCGAGCACTTACTGCTCGCAGGAGCTGACACACGTAACTGTGACTTTTCACAGTCCCAGCGGGTTGTGGAGGAGCTGAAAGGACACTGAGGCTCGCCTGGACTCCCCGAGCACGCCCGCTGGGCAAATACTGCTCGCAGCCGTGGCAGAGTAACTTGGAAACACGTTGGTGTGACCTTTTGCATTCCTGAGGCACGCCAAGCAGAAGGCTTGCACAGCTGCTGTATCCTGCTTCAGGGCATCCCTAGTATTGTTTTGGTTTAATCAACTGTAGTCAAAACTAAGCCTGCAAAGGTCAAGTCAGGCCGTAATATAACTTTTCTTATTTTGAAGAATGCGAACACAAGAAAGTATTTCGTGCCTGAACTATGGAGCCGTGCTCCTTAAGTGCATTTTGTCCGATCTTTGGGGAGCCCTTAAAGGCTATTTTGCATGCATTTGCATCAGATGGAACAATATGAATAGGAGGTTTCTAGACCGTATGTAGAAATTCAGTGTTGCCTTTAAGTTGCTGATGCATTCGGCATATCGTGGAATCATAGAACAATTCTGGGCATAAGAAAAGGTGCTCTGATACTTCTGTGCTCACTCCAACACATTTTATGTCCTCAAACTATGGAAAATTAATAATTCTTTGGGGAGTTGATTTAGATTCATACTGTAGGAACAGTAAATTCAGTTCTTGCCAGATGATTCAGTATGAAGTTTGATAAATTTGAAGGATGCCAAGGTATATTTTGGGATTTTTTTTTTTCTTTTTGTTCCACTTCCTATCATTAACACCTTTCTTTACTAGGTAAGGAAACTGGAGCTTAAGAGAAGCAGTAACTGCTTTGGGGATAAGAGTTAATTATAAAAAATTCCCCTGTGTTCTCTTAATATGTTAAAACTTGCAACAATGTAATAGCATGAATACTCCAACTGAAAGGTTATTTTCTTAGGGCAGGATGGTGTTTATAACATGTTGATACAGTGCTTAGCTTACTGAGGCTAGGCCCTCTGGGTGCTACCCTGATAGAGATACAATCTGTAATGTAGATAAGGAGGAGGGGTTTTTTGTTTTGGGGTGTTTGGTGGTGGTTTGTTTTTTTTTTCTTTGAAAACTTGTTTAATTCTCAAAATTATGTTCATTTTAATTTCAGGTTTAATATGCCGTGCACTGCCTAGGGGTAGCCCCCATGCTGAACTAAAAGAGAGAACAGTGTTGTCTGGCTCTATAATGCAAGGTAAAGTATTGCAAGATCAGAAGGCAGGCTTTAATTACATCCTCAAAAATCCGCGTCTCTGAATCTTAAAACTGTTATTAACAACGGTAGCTGTGTTAAAAGTGGAGCTTATTTTATTAAACATGTTGTCGGCGCCTAAATCAGCAGCTTTCTGACATGCTGTATACAAAGCTAGTGTGTAAACGTAGCATTTCTTTTGGAAAATAGGCTTTTTTAATGTGAAGCTTGGGAACTAGCACTTGTTAGTGTTCATTAAAAAAAAATAAATTCCCTAGACCTCCGAAGATGTATGTTTTTTCCTTTTATTTCAGCATCTGAAGTAACTTGGGATGCTTTCAATAATAAATTGAATATTTTTCATTTGAATATTATTTTCGTGGCAACTTTTTAGTCTCCAGAATGTGTTATTATAGACTGTAGCAAACCAAAGTTCTAGAACTATGACATGTAGTTAGTTAATGTTTGTGAGAAAAGGAACTTGATAATTGAGAAAAGGAACTTGATAATTATTCATACCAATAATGTTAATCTTTCTTTCTATAAAAGGCACACCAAGAGCAACAGCAGAAAGTTTTGAAGAAGGCTTGAAATACCCTAAACAGATTAAGAGGGAGTCACCTCCCATAAGGACATTTGAAGGAGCCATTACTAAGGGGAAACCGTACGACGGAGTCACCACCATAAAAGAAATGGGTCGTTCCATCCATGAAATCCCAAGACAAGACCTCTTAAGCCAGGAGAGTCGCAAGACTCCTGAGATGGTGCAGACGACCAGGCCAATCATAGAAGGCTCCATATCTCAGGTAAATATAAAAAGCACTGCTAGACTCATATAGTGGCTTTACAGACTCAGTAGTGAGTCAATTCAGGATATCTGAATAATGACAAATAGCGGGAGAGTGGTTTGTTCTGAGCAAACTCCCAAGTTACAAAGCTTAAGAATATTTTCTGTGTGCTGGAAAAATCCCTTGTAGGGAGCACGCTTGCAGATAAATGTGAGAGAACTGACAAGTAATCACCAAGATCCAGCTATATTCTATGCTAATGTGGTGTCAGCCACGTGAGGGGTCTTTTAGCACGAGTGGAACATCAGCAGGATAACTTCACCTGATGTTTTTCTACTTTTCAGGGCACACCCATAAAATATGAAAGCAACTCTGGCCAGTCTGCCATCAAACACAATGTAAAATCTTTAATCACTGGACCAAGCAAGTTACCCCGTGGAATGCCTCAGCTGGAAATGGTGCCAGAAAACGTGAAGGTGGTGGAGCGAGGAAAATATGAAGATGTGAAGACCGGGGATGCCGTACGTTCCCGTCACACGTCAGTAGTCAGCTCTGGTCCCTCTGTTCTCAGGTCAACTCTTCATGAAACTCCCAAATCACAGCTGAGCCCTGGGATTTATGATGATACCAATGCTCGGAGAACACCTGTGAACTATCAGAGTCCCATGTCCCGGAGTTCACCTATGATGAATAGAGTTAGTGAGGGTATGTTATTCCTATCCAGAGTAAGAAACCAGTTTTAATAATTTAATTCTAGACTTACTTTTAAACTGTTTTCTGTAATCCATTCTGCTATATTTTGTTTTAATGGCTTCTCTCCATTTTGAGGGTGACTCAAAGGAATTTTAGAAGTCTGTAAGCTGTTAATTGAAACAAGAAAATCAAATTTTTGCCATATTATATCATGTAGGTTGGGAAAGCAATTCAGTTTCAATTTATATTTGATATGGGTCACATCAAAAGTGTTACCTGAAAGGGTAATGTTTTAAGGGCAGAAGCCATTTCTGAATTATGGAGGTATCTAGATGAGGAAGATGATATGGTGAGGTGTACGCAATTTTAGTTTTAGGATTTTTCAACAGAAATAGTTTGTGATGTAAAACATTCTCTGTGACGTGTTTGTATCAGATTGCAGCATCCTCTAGAACATTCCTTGGGAGCCAGTGTATACTTGGAGCTGAATTTTCGTGTAGAAAAGTTTGCATTTTATTAATTTGGGGTTTTCATTGCTTTTAGCTGGAATATCTTCTGGGAAGCCAGTAAATCACGAAAGGAAAAACACCCTTACTCCGACGCAGAGGGAGAGCGTGCCAGCAAAATCTCCGGTCCCGGGGGTTGATCCTGTCGTGGCTCACAGTCCTTTTGACCCGCATCACAGAGGAGCAACTCCTGAAGTCTATAGGAGTCACCTCCCTCCTCATTTAGATCCTGCTATGCCATTTCACAGGGCTCTGGATCCTGGTAAATACATTTGCATTGTCTGTATTAGTTTTAAAAGCATTGTATGCCTTGATGCCCAGAAAAATGTTACAAGCTTTCAGGAAAGCTGTCAAAGAAGGATGTGGAAGATGCTGTGGAATTGAAGTGTAACCAGGAACCCTTTGTTCAGGACTGTGATTCATTCTTACAGAGGGATGATATTAAATACTGTAGATTTCCTTTTAACCTATCCATTAGTCCACTTTTGTGAAGTATTTTAACCTCCTTTTAACCTTCAGCCCTTTACATCCTCAAAACTTCAGGATTTATATTTTTAATCAAGTTGCCTCTCTAATGCATATCTCTAATCTGGATTTACTTAGTTTTTTCTGCCTGTATACAGTGCCTAAATTCAATAAAACATCAGTATTAAAATGCTTTTTTAATTCATTTGGCAGTGAGTAGAGAGAATTGATAGCACTTCTCATTGTAGATATATAAGCGTCTGAAATCTCTGTTCAGTATCCCCTGTACTGCTTCCTAAATTTTTTTTAACTCCTTCACCCTCAGCTGCTGCTGCTTACCTGTTCCAAAGACAGCTCTCACCCACCCCAGGCTACCCAAGTCAGTATCAGCTTTACGCCATGGAGAATACACGACAGACAATCCTAAATGACTACATTACCTCACAGCAGATGCAAGTCAATTTACGTCCTGATGTAACGAGAGGGTTATCTCCCAGAGAGCAAACTTTAGCTCTGCCGTATGCAGGAGCAAGAGGTATGCCTGTGGTTTTTCTGATGTTCTCCTAAGTGTGTTTTGGATATGCAGTGTGGAACAATTAATGAAACCAAATGAACTAGTTACTTCCAGATTCATGAGAAGGAAGAAACTTGGCAAAGAAGCTGTAGGAACTGATAAATCATCAGAACTCAGAAGTAATGCTTTAGAAGATAAGGCCATTACAAAAAAACCAGCAGCTTCTTTGCGACTGTTCACTGTGGAGAATTTTTTATTTCTGTGATGGAGATTTATTTTTTTTATGCGTCGTGAGTTTGAAGAACTCTTTCACATTGAAATGTTAAGCAGTCTTAGAACAAAATAGTGAAATGAATAGTTCCGAATCCTGAATTCCCCCAGGAGTTACAGACCTGACAGGAAATAGTCAATCTGCCAGCTTGCTTACTTGGTACGATGATCTGTCTATCGCTTAAATCAGTTTTGTTCAGTTATTGGTGGAATGGAAGACAGCAAACATGAGAGAATTAGGCTGGTAGGCCTAATTGTCTTGGGGATGAGACATAAGACCTTGTAGTGTTTTAATTGCTTGGAAAAGAAAGGGTCAGTGGGTTTCATAGTAGGGGAAGTTCTATCGGAGTTCCAGTGAGACCTGTGCATTTCAGCATTACATTGCATTTTGTGAATACAGAAGGTCTGGAAAAGGCAGTGATGTCCGGTAAGATCATTCTGCTAAAAGATGGGATTGTTGAGTAGAGATGAAGTGTGTTTTTCCAAAGGGCAGGTAAAGGAGTGCACATCCTGACTTAGTATGTTCCTAAATTGCTGATTGTCAGATCTAAGTGAGTATAACTAACTGGAATATAGTTCTGCACTTGCCTTATTCTTGTATTTTTCCACTGTTACCAGCAAACAGAATACGGAATGCCATGGGCATTGGTCTGTCCTTTAATGGCCATTCTTGTGTGTTGTCTCCTAACAGGAATTATTGACCTGAACAATATGGCTCCCACTATCTTAGTGCCTCACCCTGGAGGAACAAGCACACCACCCATGGAGAGGATTACGTATATCCCTGGTACCCAGCTCACGTTCCCTCCCAGGCCTTACAATCCTGCTTCGCTGTCACCAGGTGAGAGCTCTTAGGGTTCGGTGATGTCTTTAATTGTCTGACATGCTGAGATAATTGACCGTCTTTATTTACTTTTTATTTATGTCACATTTTGATGTTTTCTCAGGTAGTGCTTTTTGCATGCAGTTCTGGCTTGAATAGTAAAGGTTTTCTTAATGGTATCCTTTATCATTACATTTGTAGCTGAAGGAGTGAGGACAGATTCAGAAGTGGTCACATTCTGTCAGGTCTTTATTTATACTCATTTAATCATGATTTCACTAACCTCATATTACATGTGTTGAAGTGTGGAATTTAGGTCTATCAGCTGTCTAGTTTCTAATGGTATAGAAACCACTTTATTCAGAAAGTTCCTGAGCATTTTGCAGTCACTGTGTGCTAAGCTTTTGTCTTCCTAGGTAAGTGCATAGCCTTGAGTAGAATGAAAACATATTTGGGGAACTTTGATCTAGGTGGATGACAGAATATATTGGAAAGTATTTCCATCAAATTGCGTGTAACTTTAGTGTCTCTTTTTGCTAATTCATTTTATCTCGTGGATCTTCCAGGACACCCTACACACCTGGCAGCTTCTGCAGCTGCAAATGCTGAAAGGGAACGGGAGAGGGAGAAGGAACGGGAAAGGGAGAGGGAACGTGAGCGAGAGCGGGAAAGAGAACGAGAGCGAGAGCGGGAGAGAATAGCTACAGTTCCTGCTGAGCTTTATCTTCGACCAGGTGAGTGCTGATTGCTGCGTTTGGATCGGTTGTCTTGCAGACTGTAACTGCTCGTTTTCCATAGCCGCTGTTAGCAACGTGCAGCTTATTAACAGCACAATATACGGTTTGGTTTGAGTCTGCCCTTTAGCAAGTTCCTGTTACCCAACAGTGCTGGTCATAAGTGCCACTTCTGCAAGTACCAGGCCTCTTGATCTTTCTCTCACAGCACTGCAGAGTGATGCAACTCCCAGTTACCACTGGCACAACTTGCCTGTCATTTAGAGCATTGTAAACAGAATGCTATGATTTAAACCTTTAATACCTACGGTCACACCTAGAGTGGTGGAGACAGCACGGATACATAGTTCTGCCTTGTTATAAGACTGATTTTTTTAATTTTTTTTTCAACTTTATTCCCCTGTGCTCTATGTTCTGCAGGTACAGAGCAGCCTGGCAGACCTGGCAGCCATGGATATGTTCGATCCCCATCCCCTTCAGTTAGAAGCCAGGAGAACATCCTGCAGCAAAGGCCGAGTATTTTTCAAGGAACCAATGGGACAAGTGTAATCACACCTTTGGATCCTGCTGCCCAGCTACGTATCATGTATGTGTTATAAGTTACTGTTGCAGAGGTATCTGTTCTACTATTTCACCCTGTTAAAGGGTGCATTTAGCTTGAGGAAAATACTACAAAATGAGAATATACCATTATCTGATTGTTCTTGGATTTATCGGAACTAATCCAATGTGTTTTCCCCGATCCAGTTTGTATAGAAATTAATGTCACAAAAGCTTTGCTTTGTTGTACACTTGATATGGCTCTAGTTCTTTTTTTTCATGTGATATAATCCAGAGTATTCAATGTTTGCCAACAGGCAGCTCACTCCTGGAGCTCCCTCCATTACTCAAGGGTTACCAGCTTCCCGTTACAATACTGCTGCTGATGCCCTTGCAGCACTAGTAGATGCTGCAGCCTCTGCTCCTCAGATGGAAGTTTCCAAAGCAAAAGAAAACAAGCACGAAGGAACCAGGATAGAAGAAAATATGGGGCGCCGGTCAGCTGTGGTTACTGAGCAGCAGCAGATGGAACAGAAGACACTGGAGGTAGAAAAGAGGCCTGTCCAGTGTCCCTATACATCTGCAAATTTTTCTGGTGGCAAGTCCCAGGGACAGCCTTCATCAGTAGTCTATTCAGAGGCTGGTAAAGAGAAAGGGCCTCCTCCTAAATCCAGGTACGAGGAAGAGCTGAGAACTCGAGGAAAGACCACAATTACTGCTGCTAACTTCATAGATGTGATCATCACTCGACAGATTGCTTCAGACAAGGATGCACGAGATAGGGGCTCTCAAAGTTCAGATTCTTCCAGTAGTTGTACGTATCTTAGTAACTATCTACTTCTTTGCTGTCTCTCTTAGCCTTTTGGGGAAAGAATAAGATGTGAAATGATTCTGATGTTCGATGATAAAATAGTCAGCTCTGCACAGTAGAAACTTCATAGACAAATAACATATTTTGCATATAGTGACTCAAGATTCTTGCAAAATCAGAGTTGCTTGCTTTATTTGAAACATGAAATGTAAGATAATAAGAGTGATCTTATCAGAGGTGAGGAAACCTGAAATTATTTGATTTACATTGGAACACTGTTTTGTGGAAGTCTTTGTATCGCCATGGTTCTCATAAGAAAAAGACAGTGTTTTGAATTCCATTTCGCTGGTGTGATTTTAGTGGAAGTGCTGGTGTCATTATGTATTGGCAACAAAAATCTTCTGTGCTATTTACACCTTATTCCGCAACCTTTGCTTGATACTCAGTATCCTCCCACCGGTATGAAGCTCCTGGAGATGCCATTGAGGTGATTAGCCCTGCAAATTCACCTGTACCTGCTCAAGAAAAGCTACAGCCCTATCAACAGGAGACACCTAAACCAAGCCAGGCAGAGAGTAAGTTTATCTGCATATGCAAATATTCTCAGAATTATCTTGCTTGTATTTACCAGCTCCATGAACTTATAATAAAGTTAAAATATCTGGGGAGTCTTTAGGTGACTGCTTACTACATTCTTTTCAGAAATTTTTGTTAAAAGTATGTTGTTGTGTGTGGGAAAACTAGACTAAATGTATTGGAATTGACACTTGGCATTAAAAAGAGCTCCTTTACGTTACAGTGTAGTCGATTTAGTAAGAAATTTGTTTTCAATATATTCGTTAAAATTACTGTGTATCAGTGTTGATGTCCACAGTTTTTGACCTGTTGTAAAGCTGAAACTGTTACAGTACAGTTTGCAGGTGAGAAATGAGCTGAAATTCACTTGCATTGTGGAGTGAAGCTTTACTCGTCTATTTGAAATTGTAGGGCCTAGATATGAAGGGGAAGAAGGTGGTTACAGGCTCCCTGAGATCTAATGCAGACACTTCTTCTTTCAATTTATAAACACAGAACTTTCAAACCTTGAAGCTTCAGCAATACCATCTTAACAGACTGACCTTTTCTTCTTCAACCAGATGACCCAAACAGGCAATATGAGGGGCCGATTCACCGCTATAGGACACAACAGGAACCCCCTTCACCCCAGCAACCTCCACCTCCCTCTTCCCAAGCAGAAGGGATGGCACATGTGCCCAGGACCCATCGACTTATCACCCTTGCTGATCACATCTGTGTAGGTTTATTTTCATGTCCATTCTCAGATGTGAAAAGTTATATTTTTGAAGATGAAAACACGTGATTTGGAACATAATACCAAATTTTGTGATTATTATACGATATTATTATACAATAATATGTCTGAACATTTAATCATCTCTTTTGTTGCAATTGGTCTCATATTCATCTAGTTCATGAATACATAGATTCTGGCCAATGTCTGACCAAGATCTCTCTCCTATTTTTTTTGGCCGCGATCAGCAAATTATTACACAAGACTTTGCTAGAAACCAAGCAGCTTCTCAGGCCTCTTTGCAGCCTCCCACCACTACATTCCAGAATTCCACCCCTGCTCCAACGCCTGTTTCTACCCGGGCAAAGACATCAAATCGCTACAGCCCTGAGTCACAGTCACAGTCTGTCCACCATCAGCGGCCAGGTGCCAGAGTGTCACCTGAAAACCTCTCTGACAAGTCCAGGGGAAGGTAATACATGTATGCACTTTAACTGGAAATTTAATTAACGTCTAGGTGGGATTTTTTTAAAACATAGCCCAGTAATCTTGGTGTAGATCAGAAGTAGAGGTATCTTTTGGTCTTTTTTTAGGCAACGTCTGCCTTGCGCTGTTTTTAGCAATTAGTTGGTTGCATAACATGGTTATAACTGTTTTCATTCACTTCTTTTGCTTAATTTCCAGTTTTTAGAGGGGTGAAGATGTTTAATTACTTGGAACTTAGCAGAGTTGTTATGGACAATTCAAAGTCATCTTTTTGAGATCGCTAAAATGTGTATCATGTATAACTAGACTTGAGTCATTATATAACAACTGGAATGCAATTACATGTGTTACCTACTGCTTTACATGCATTAAGAGCACTTATCTGTCTCTGAATTATGAATGTAGACCTGGAAAATCTCCAGAGAGGAGTCATGTCTCTTCAGAGCCCTATGAGCCAATCTCGCCACCTCAGGTCCCGGTTGTACATGAGAAACAGGAAAATGTTATTTTGCTTTCCCAAAGAACTGAGCCTACTGAACAGAGGTACGTGTAAAACTGAATTCTGAAAACATTATTCTGGATCTTTGTCCTGCAAACAGTATCTTTTATTAAAGAGCGGATTAAGCAATCTTCCTCTGGTGTCACAGGCAAGTTGTTAATCACTGTTAATCCTTTTGCATTTGCATTCAAAACTTGCTTCTTGGGAGATGCTTTGGGAAGCCTGAGTGAAACGTCATCTGTGCGTGCTCTGTCTTAAGTTTCTTGGCTCAAACAGTGTGTTCTATGTAATATCTGACAGAAAACATAACAAAACTGCTTCTGGGTGCCTGTTCTATAAAAATGAAGTGGTTTTTGAGGAAGGTCCACTTCTACAATTTTTATTCAATGATTCAGGCTTGTCCTGCCTGCTGAGTTTCCTAGATAGTATCCTGGTGCAGTGTGGAGCAATCCAGGCTTCCAACAGTCATGATGCTGGAACAGCTTATCACATGAAATGTCACTAAGCTAAGGAGGTTAATTTCCAGGGTGCGTGAAGGTGAGGTGTCAGGAGGTCCATGCATCAGGCAGCCCTACTTCCCAGGGCAGATTTTTTACACCAATCTGACAGAAATTACATGCAGAAAGTGCACTGGCTACTGTGAATGTAAAATTGATAAGGGGTATGAAATACAGAATATGAATCCCGCTCTGAATTTGTGCCATAGAGCAAGGATGGCTAACTGGCAGCTCCTGAGCCAGGTTCTAGTCCATAAGGTTGTTTTACCTGGCTTCTAAGAATGCCTGAAATAACTTATTTGCTTGGACCATGTGTGATGGAGTGGGTGAGCAGATTAAAAAAAGAAATACATCCTCTTTAGTGGCATCCTGGGAACAAGCGTGTTAAGACTGGAGACAGGAGGAGCAGCTAGGATGAGTATTTTGGGCTTCTAGCTCAAACATTTTTGCACCTGGCAATTTGCAATTTAACCATCAGCCAGCATGAAGGTTGTAAGGCACAAGTGGGCACCCCTGAGATAATTGTAAGAGCATCATCTCTGGACCACTCCGCAGCACAGACAGTGAAGTCTACCCTGGAGTCACTTTTTCTGTGAGCTGTAGTCTCTTAAACCCTGTTCCCTGGATAAAGCAGATGTTCTCAAACAGTCGTTAGACTTGTCTAGTGCCCGAAAAACAGGCTCAGGAAAGAGTCTTAAAGCTCCTGTGAATGTTGGCGGTTTCTGCCTGACTGCTTTTGGAAAGATTTAAATGTACCTCTTGAAAAATGTTCTCTTTCTTTGACACATGTTGGTCTTGGCAGGACTGACTCTCGCTCTCCAGGTAGTATAAGCTACCTGCCTTCGTTTTTCACCAAACTTGAGAACACTTCACCCATGGTAAAATCCAAGAAACAGGAGATATTTCGAAAGCTGAACTCATCTGGTGGAGGTGACTCTGACATGGGTATGCAGGACTTGCCTTTTCACTGACTTTTTCCAGCTTAAGCTTTATGTGACTGCTATCCACAGATGTCCTAACCTAAATATGTCTCAAGTAACAAATTAATGAATATAAATTTACAAATACAAAACACATAGATGATAATTTAGGATGAAAGAACTGGAAGATTGTTAGATTTTCCCCCCCCTTTTATTTTTCCCTTTTTTAATGCTGATGTATGTAAGACTGTCAGGTTTAAGCTTTTTAATGCTTAGTTTGAGATGAAAATGGCTTCTGAAGACTGTAGAAAAAACAATTAAGAGTTGTTAAAACCTGACATTATTCTAGTTAACTTTGTGTCTGTAGCTCGCTTTGTATCAACATTAACTTTTATGCATTTTCCTTTTTGGAACGGTATCTTGACACTGAATGTTTTGTGTTTTCTTGGCACTTACGGCTACTAAAAAGTCATATTAAAATATAGTTTCAGTAATGGATACTGACATGATGGAATATGATACTAGAACTAAATTTTTATTTTTCTCCTAGTAACCTTAACAGAACTTTGCATCAAAATTATCAGTAGTGAGAGCGTAGGCTCTTTGTGAACTCGGTACCTAATAGAGAGTAAATGTTCTTGCACTGAGCAACAAGTTAATCTCATTCTGATAACAAGGCTGTAAGGGCTGCAGAATCGTTATTGGATCCCCATTGTGAGCCCGATAGATTTCGCCCTGTTGGACACTTCACGTGCGTGCTTGGCACACAAGCACACCTTCCATTGTGGCCAGTAATCTTTTCATTTACATATGGAATTCAGTGTTACAGTTTAAAATATTTATTCTCAAATTGGACATAATATAGGTACTGTGGGGGAAGGAGTGGTTTAGCCACTCTAAAGTCATCACCATTTATTTTTGAATGCATACAAATACTCGGCCTGTAGTTTCATATATTAGAATTTGTATTTAGCAAATCAAATGCAGCTTTGTATTTTCAAAAAGTCAGTCTGCTCCCTGAAGTAACATCTTTCAAAGAAGGTTAGCCACGATGATATAGTTTTACCCTGGTAGAGATCATCTTCCTGAGAAGATGTAGGTGCACATTCATCTTTAGAACACTGACAAAGAAAAAACTAAGTGCTGAAAGTACTTCAAAAGTAATTATACCTTGTGTGTTAGGACTAGTAGCGATCACTTATAGTGATCGTCAGTACTGAAAAACTCAGTAAAATGTTGTGTTTTAATTGCAGCAACTGCTCAGCCAGGGACTGAAATATTCAATTTGCCAGCAGTCACTACCTCAGGTAAGTTTTTCAGTAATAGAAACAACATATGTTTCAGAAAAAGTAAAATAGTATCTTTCATTTATGCGCTTTGGGAGTCTAGTAAATGAGGAAGATGATGAAAATTTAAAAGGTAATAGCCTACAGGAAAACTTGTTATCTGTATTGTAGAGAAAAGCAAAATGACCAAAGGAAGTTCTAGAAAATATTTCAATGGAAACTTAAGCAAGAATGATTTATTTTTGTCATCTGCAAATCTTACACCAAGGTAGAAGTAATGACATGGGTTAGTATCTCGTATAAATACGATGTAACTGTTGTGTAGTTTAACAAAACCCGAGCTTAGTTATCAAATGCAGTTTAAAATGCTTAGATGATCTTTTTTCCCTGTGATAAATTCATAAACTGCACCGAATTTCTGTGAGATGAGGAAATCAAATTTAATCCATGCTTTTACTGTGTTAAAGAGGCAAGTGAGGCAGAGAATTGAACTGCACACTGGGCGATAAGAACTGCTATAGCTGAATGTTGAGTTGTACCACAGATCGATTTTACATTATTTTGGCCAGTTGTTGCCCCTTCTGGTAGAGTTCTTCTGCCTTCTAAGTGGACAGAGTACTGATCTACGTTAATTCAGATGGCAACAAGCTTTTGGAATAAATATTTGCCACGTATCGCACTTGACCAGACAAATCAGAATGGATTATTAATGAGTGAAATATTCTTCTGGTCTCTTCTCTTACAACTGATTAATAGCTGGAGGTTTTACTTAATATGCTCTCACAATCAGCAGGCTCAGCTTCCTTTGCTATTTTAAAAAAAACCAACACAACAAAACAGTAAAATTTGCCGTCTTGCAAAGTGTGTGACACTGTGACATTACTGATGTAGCTCTTCAGTGCTTGCTGGTGTGTCTGACTTGTAGCTGTTTTGGAGCACGTAGCTGTGCTTTAAAAAAAAAAAATCTAATCTTTGGGTTTCTTTCTCCACTTTTCTGCCTCTCAAATCTCTCCCCACATCCCTTTGTAATTTCTTCAAATGTTTTTGCTGCCCCTCCCACCTTTCCATTTATGTTTTCTTTTTATCTCCTAGGTGCAGTGAGTTCTAGGGGTCATTCCTTTGCAGATCCTGCCAGTAATCTGGGTCTGGAAGACATTATTAGGAAAGCATTGATGGGAAACTTTGATGACAAGAGTGAGGAGCATGGAGTAGTAATGTCACAATCTATTGCAGTAGCACCTGGTAGTTCCAATGCTCCAGTAGCAGCAAGTAATGAGACGCGTAGGGAAGAAGCTAATCCATCACCAAATTCAGGTGAGGTACTGCAACTCCTGCATATTTCACGGTCTTAAAAAAAAACCAAAACAAACAGAAAAAAAAAACACCAAAAAACCCCACAACCCACAGATGAAGAGTTTGAGTAAACTTGGTGTCACTATCTTTCCTCTGGAAGTGATAAGAGATGGTGTTTCCATTCCTTCTAGTGGTCCTGGCTTTGAAAATGATGCTTGGTGACTCCAGGAGCTTTAGCCAGTATTTGTTGGAGAACAACAGCACTGATGAAACATGGAAGAGATAACAGGGTGTATTAGATACCTGAAGCTTCTCAGTGGTTTGAAAATGCACGTGTAGCACATCACCTGTAAGGAACACGTGACAATGGAGCCAGCCTGAACTGAATATAACTCTGTTGTGATAAGAGTAGGGATTTTCTAGTAATATTATGTAAGAAGACTGGCCTCTACAGTCACAAATTGTAGTACATCAGCATTCCAGAAGGCACCAGTGTCAAACTCCTGTTTGCTGCTACGTGATAATTTAGAGAAACAGGCTAAAATGCAGCGTTAACATTTTTGTAAAATCTGTCCCGTCTTTTTCCAGGAGGGGGAGTCAGCAAGCAGAAGCTGATCGGCAAGTCAAATAGTAGGAAGTCAAAGTCTCCAATTCCTGGACAGGGATATTTGGGAACCGAAAGACCTTCTTCTGTCTCATCTGTACATTCAGAAGGGGATTACCACAGACAGACTCCAGTGTGGGCCTGGGAAGACAGGCCTTCATCAACAGGTGAGAAATGGGTTTCTTTTGAACTTAGCGAACCAGATGTGGTATCTGGAGAAAGGTCATCTGTAGACATACTGTAAAAATTGTGTATTGCTCTAAAAGTTTACAGCCTATGAGGCTTTTTGTGAAACATTCTCTGCTAGTTGTCGCAACCCCAACCAGGCTGTCTTTCAGATACAGATCTCTTAGAACAGCTCATGGTTTTGACGTGGAGAAACTCTCTTTGGTCCAGGTTCAACGCAGTTTCCTTACAACCCATTGACGATGAGGATGCTGAGCAGCACGCCGCCAACATCCATCGCGTGTGCCCCACCGTCCATGAGCCAAGCAACCACTCACCAACAGAACAGGATATGGGAGCGAGAGCCTGCGCCACTGCTTTCAGCACAATACGAGACTCTGTCTGACAGTGATGACTGAACTATGCAGAATTTTTTTTTAAAAAAAAAAAAATTGCGGGTCAAAAAAAGAAATCTATTTTTGACTTGTGCCCATAGAGACTTTCCAAGAGAGCGAGGGCCACACAATGAAGAATTGATGGAGAGTCCGTTAAATGCCTTCTGCACAGGCCGTGTGTTGGAGGATTGTGATCAAGAAGGTTTGACTTACTAAAGATAAATATGTAAAGAGTTTTTAAAAACGTGGACTATTCCTGTTCTACATCTATTTGTAAAGAAAACCTTAATGTCTTTAAATCATTCTTCTGTAAATAGAGAGTACTTTTTGCAGTGTTTTTTCCCTTGCTATAGTATCTGGTGTACTTATGTTCAAATCATTGCCTAAACTTTGGGGGTCATTTTGTAATTTTTTTTTTTTAAGCATTTTCTTCAGTGTAGAGTACTCTTCATAACCCTAGCCTCCCTACCAGCCTAGTCTAACCAGAAACCTAGCCTCCCGACCAGCCTAGCATCATTGCCCATTTAATGCCGTGCCACTTCTCGCAGGCATTGTGCTTTTATATAATTTTATTTTTTCCCCTAGACACACTTTCTCAGTGGTGTTCAAGCTCTTGTGAAAATGTTAATTTTTAAGACTGACCCCTTAATGAATTCTGTACATTAACATAGTCCGATTTGCTGGAATAAGATGATATATTTCTTTGAATTTTAAATTCTGCCACATTGTAAATTTTTGGTGCAGTTGGTTTTATTTAGCAGCACTGCAGAAATATTATTGCATGGGTATGTTATGGTTCATTTTTAAAAGGATAAAAAACAAAACAAAACAAAAAGAACAGCTTCTGGAGGCATACCTCACTGTTATGCACACTGGGAATTTTAACTGTGCCCCAAAAGCCTATCGTGGCATTCTCTGTTTCTGCATCGTATGCAGTCACAACAGGCTACTCAATTTTACTGTCATAATTAACCATAGCAACTGGCTTACCGCAACAGAGGCTCTGGGTGGGTTGAGAAATCCTTTAAGAAGAAAAACCTCTACATCCCAAGTTTAAATAAAACACAAATGCTTTTATAGAATAATTGAGCGACACGTGAGTCAACTACTTGGCTTCTGTTACAACCAGTTCGATATAGGTACTGTGATTTTTACCTTCCTCGAGTCTGATTTTAAAATCTTTATGTAATAATTATTTTAAAGTCTGTGTCCCCATCCCAATCCCCAGCCCTATAAGCGAGCTTTTGGTGGAAATCCTTACAAATGCTTGGCTTAACTCCTAAAGTGTGCAATACTTCTTAGGGTGATTTTTATTTTGATTTTTAAATTGTATATGGTACTAGGAGAGTCTCCTTAATCATTCATCTAGCAATGCCTGCTATGATATACTTGTAGCTTATGTATCCATACATGCGGTCAGTGATACCACCAGGTGTCCTGACATCCGTCTTCAAAAGCATCTTATTTTTTGCTGCACTGACCTCAGGAAGTGAATTTAAATCTTCTGGGGTAGAAGGACTGATTTACAGATAGCACTGAATTGGGGGGGTGGCATGGTCTGTCAGATTCCAATTGTTTTTGCATCTCATTGATGAACAGAATCTTTGCCTTGAAGTTATTTTCCAGTCAAAAGTATTTTTAATTGAACACTGTATTTGCGATACGTTGTATGGAAGGTGTAATGCAGCTGTGTAACCCTAAGCCATGTAAGCTCTCCCGCTTACGGAAGGACTGTCATGGTCCACTTACAAACAGGAAGAATTACAGAACTATTTATTAATAGCAAATTTCCTTCAAGTACTTTAGAGGAAAGCCTTTTTGCCCTAAGTGTGGGAAAGAAGAAATCCAAAGGAACTCATTTGGAAATGTGACACTGTGTTCCAGATACAGAATTATTTTGCTAATTTTTCAAGCATTGCATCAGAGTAGATCAGTTGGCAGGCTTCAGTCTTGCAGTCTTTCTCTAAGAAAGATGGAGTTTTTTTCCTCACCCTCCCATCCTTTACCTTTCTGGCTTAAAGTACTGAAGTTTTCATCCTGTTTGTAGACCTGTGCTCTTACTTTTAACTTTTTTTGCTCCCACAGCAACTTGTACTGGAAAACAAGGTGATCTGCCCTTTTTGTAGGTTTCAACTTGGACTGGAGAGTTAAGTTCCATTCTAAAACTCCCTTGTTCTCACTTTGTTAGTGTAACAAATACAGCGTGAAAGAGGCATGTACAGACAAATGTCTTTGCTAACTGTACAGTAAGTATAGCATGTTCATTGCAAAGCTTCATGTTACTGCTGCTGCAGCAGCAAGATATCCGAAGTAGGATAGTCACTTTCTCCTAAGATACAGCTTGAGTGGCATTTGCACATAAAATGTTGCTGCTTTTTTGTTTTGTTATCTGAGTTCTGACTTCTCCAGTGTAAAAACCTCTCCAGAGCCTAAGTTAGGGTTTACCACAATTCCAGTAATCTTCAAGTATGGAATTACATCTGACCTGTTTCAAACAGGAAGGTGTTTGTAAATCATGTTTACAAAGTGTAGTTTACTACAGATTTTTAACTGATTTCTGATCAGCGCTTTCACAATGCTTTCATCTTGATATGTTTCGTGATTCTGATATGAAATCATTTAAGACTTGAAAAACCCATGCATCATAAAAACTCAACATTTTATTTTTTTTCCACACAATGTCTTCAGTAGACAGTGACTTCTGGATTCAGACCAATCAATAAAGGGGATCAGTTCTCCATTTGCTTTTCCTGTGTCTCCCTCTTGTTTTGCAGCATCAAGCTTATGTTCATGAGAACAGGCAAAACACTTCCCTGAGGGGGTGCTGCAGGGTTCCCAGTTAACACTGCTGGAGTGTCTAAGGTCTGCCACTTAAAAACCGCAACCCAGAACTTAAAATTGGCTCTAAACTATTAGAGCCTTTCCGTTGGTACAAGTGTATCTGTAACAGCCTTGTTTTTATTTCCTAGCTTGCTGAGAACAAAGCTGTATATGTGACTTAAGTTTTTCCAGCTTCAATGAACATCTACTCTAGAAAACCTGCGTGCCTCGTCTTAGCTCAGAGTTAAGCAGAGCTGAAGCCACTAATGCTACTGTAAGTAAACTAATATGATGCAATTAGTATTAAGAGTTGTAGCAGCCAGCTGAAGTCCTTACAAATAAGAGGTTAAAATACTGCTTGGTTAGTGACAGAATTAGTTAGTTCTGCTGTCCTAGCTAAATTCAGCATTGGTAACTTCTCATTTAATTCTCCTTTACATCAGGGTTCCCTGCAGGGCAGGACTGAAAAACTGTGTTATATAAGCAAGCTTTTTACGCTAGACTCACATGAAGGCATGTAGCTTACAATCCTGATAGTTTGTCCATACCATATTTTCCAACAGGAAGCTTCACCATTCTAGTACTGACCTATCCAAAAAGGGACGGCACCTTTGGCACTCAGTGTGCTCTTGACTGGGGTAAGGTAGCAGAGTGTTTTATTTTTGACAACAGTTCTATTTTGGTAACATAGTCTCAAGCCCTCCTCTGAGAGGACATGTTCTATCTTTAGAGTCTGCATGCTTTGAAGAAAAACACTTGATCTTCAGGCAACCTGCTTGAAAAGGACATGGAGCTACAGCTCTGTCACAGTACAAGTATACTCTGGGAACTGCTCTGCTGAAGTGAATAGGCACTGAACTGGAGCATGGACAGAAGTACACGGTGTTGTGCTAGCTACTGTGTAAAGAGACAATTCCTGTTCAAGACTTAACTTCATAGCACAGCCATGTTTTCAGACTGAGTACTTCGGTGAACAGTCCGGAGCAGCAAATGCCTACTCCTCAACTTAACTGCAAATATTAATACCAGGCTAGACTTGAACTTTGTCTCAACTGCCAACAGAGTTAAATCACTAGCACAGCAGGTCACTCTCAAACCACTGACTACACCACACATTTCCATTGTTAAGGTTTCACAACTTTATTTTGGGCTACGTTAGTCAATAGCAGCCCTTCTTGCTATGCTGCCCTCAAACTCCTCATTGCTGTTCCTCCTGAGAGTTGCACCAGATAGGTCCCGGCTGCTTGTACTGACCAACCTCGCTACTGTCAGTCAGCTCGACGTTGGGACTCCAGGACCAAACTTACTTGGAGCCCTTTCTCCTCTTGGCCAGCTCAGCTAGTTCTTCCTGGATATGCTGGACAGAAGCAACATCTCCTTTCTGCTGTGCCTGCTTGAGAGCTTCTTTGTACACCTGTTTTGCTTGCAGAAAGTCTTCTGTGGCAAGAGGAAAAAGTGCTATGGCTAGCCAATTACATCACCATTTTCAGAGTCCCCTCCTGAAGATAACCACATGCAAAGGACGAGCAAGGACTTCAGCAGCTGAATTCAATTTGAATACAACACAGGTTGCTTACACAAAGTCAGCAGACCTACTCCTTAAACTAAAAATACTAACACAGAAATAATGCTATAGATCAGTCCTACACTACAGGTAGCTGCAGTCAGCACAAGCATGGTGACATGGGCTGGAAATCTATTTACTTACCTTTGTGCATCAGAATTGCTGCCAGGTTATTCAGCACCATGTGCTCCTCAGGGTGTTGAGTCTCCTTTGCCAGCTCAGCTGCCCTTTTCACACAGGAGTATGCCTCGTCATAGTGCCCCTGAGCATCCAGGACAGTTGCCAAGTCGTTCATCAGGACAACAGTCTGCACCAGGACAGAAAAGGAAGCCTCAGAACAAGACCTGTGTAGAAGTGCAGGCAGGAGAACCATATTTATACCCCAGCACACTAGTAAAAGTTGTATTTCCTGAAGAAGCTTTCAGTATGAAAGTGTCTTACATTTACATATCAGCATGCTACATGCTTGTTCTTCCTGGCAGGAAAACAGAACCCAATTTAGTGCTGTGTACATCCGGCACCCGCAAAGCTGCTTTTAAGGCTGCCTCGTTCCCTGGCTTAGCCTTTCTTTCTTTAGAAGTCCAGCTACCATTGTACGTGTCACCTGCGGATGGTTCTCTCCCTGAACATCGCTTGATATCTGCAGAGCCTTCTCATACATTTTTTGGGCCACTGGGAGCTGGTTAACGCTGAGGAGATAGCGAGCATAGGAGTCTAGGCTCATCCCAAGCAAGAGACGGGTGTTTGCCTTTTCTTCAGCTGCAAAGAGAGAGGAGCGGAAGTGATTATTTCTACAAGATCAAGCATGAGTCTCCATCCTACAAGAGCAGGAAACTCATGCAGTGTGAAGACAATGGATTGACATGAAGGTGGTGCTTAGGCAACAGGGAAAGCAACATCAAGGACAAGGAAATGGAGAAAAGATAACGAGAGGAGCCTTTGGCAGACAAGGCAGTCCCACCTGGTAAAACATCCTCGGGCAAGTCCTTTTGCTTGGCAATCTTCTCCTCTAAGGTCAGGATGCAGAACTGGTAGCCAGCCAGGGCTAATTTGTGCCTGCAAAGTCCAACAACTCAGCAAAGCAAAGCTCCTTCCATCTCTGAATGGATAGATGTGAGGGTCTGTAAGAACTTTTCCCCTTCACCAGAGCCTTCTTGATCGTGGCCTGTACCCTCTCCTTGACCCACGGGCAAAGGGATCCAAGAGGTGGAGAGGGACCCCCTTCCCCAGATAAGGCCAGATAAGGCAACCCATGCTGATGCTCCATTGAAAAATGAAGCTACAAGTTGCCAGTCATCAACTGCTTCAAAAGCCTCCTGTGAGGTGTGGACTTAAGACCAAAGAGCCATGTCCTCTGTGGCTACTTCTGCCCTAAGCTGGGCAGGTCCCAGCAGCAGTCACTGTGCTACAGGACAGTGGGTGGGCAAATACAATGCCTGAGGGAACATTTATGTTGGTGGTATCGTGTCATACCAAGGCTTCCTCAGGCACTCTATTCTTAAAGAAGCTCTGTGTGGCCAGCACTGCCACTGTGAAGCTGAGAGGAAAGCAAAAGACGCCTTTAGCAGGGAACTCACTGTTTCTGAGCAGCATAGATACTGGCCAGCTTGAGGGACATCTCGAGGATTGCATTGTCATCCTGCCAGGAGGACACACAATGCACCTGTTACTCTTCTTGTATCTCCCCAACGGAAACATTACTTTGTCAGAGAACTAGCATAGACTTTAAAAATCCCCATCCTGTTGTCTCCAGAGCTGCCATCCACTGAATTAAGTTCTTGAGAAGCCAGCAAGCTCATAGCTAGTATTGCTAATTCCCAGTAGGAGGTATTACAGCACAAGAAATAGAGCAAAGAGTTGTGCACAACCCTGTTAATACTTCCAGGTGAAAGTTTTTATCAGAAGAACATACCTCCTTCATGTCCCCTGCAAGCAAATAGCTCATAGTTGCTTTGTAGAGCTTTTCTGCCTGAAATGAGAATTTTGAAGAGCATACTGAGCGATGACGGCGCTTAAAACAGAAGATCTCTACTCCATGGTGCTGCCAACTACTGAGTCTTTTCAAGTTCTACTTTAGGGCTGCTACAACAGCCATGAGTTTACCACATCTGTGTGCCTCCAGGGCTTTCCTACATTCTCCCTGGGCTGGCCACCTAAATGCTTGACATGGCATCTGTATTCCTTCTCTTGGACCCCACGCTGGAGTTCAACGTTAACTGTGAAAGCATCTTTCTTAGCAGCACGCGCTTCACGGGACTGAAATCCCCAGGTAGATAATTCTGCCTTACACTGGGAGATCTCTGCCTCACAACTCTGGCTGTGGAGCTTGTCACAGCACGCCTCACCTCCAGGAACTCGCCCAAGATATCAGCCTCTTAAAATTCGAAGGGGAACAAAAACAGTTACTCACATTGTCCAGCTGTCCCTGCATGAAGGCCACGTTTGCCATCTGGAAGAGACAAGACGGTGCTGAAGAGGGGACTGGCCTCAACACAACTGCTTTTCCTTCTACCTCTGGCTCCGCTGCAGCCCC